CATAGCTCGTAGAAATAAAAAATTATAAAAAAAAGTGTAAACACATAGCCCGAAGAAATAAAAAAATAATAAAAAAATGTGCGAAAGCAATTTGAGAGACAGATGAATATAATCATCATTTAGGGAAAAGCATTTTTTTACGTAATTTAAGTTGAAAAAAGCAACCTTGTTTAGATTATATTAAGACTATTCATATTGGTGACCCAACTTATTGGGTCACCAGCTAAAAGACAAAAAAAAAAAAAAAAATGGAAATTTACAAATTTTGGGCGACCCAGGTCACATTGTGACCTTGGGTCGCCGCATGTTTTTCATTTTTTTTTTTTTTATTTTTTTTGCAATTTTTGGATAAAGGAGTAAGGGAATGGGACACTTATAAAACTTAGATGATAAGATAATAATAACTCAAATAATTGGTATTATTATATATTAAAATAAAAAATAAAAAATAAAAAATATCAAAATTTATATTTTTTCGTCCTCTATAAATAGAGACCACTCTTGAATTGGAGATAAATATATGCAAGTTGTTAAAAGTTGGTTTGTGTAGGTGGAAGAGAGGGAAATAATTTTTTATGGTTGGATTGTGTTGGGTTAGGTTGAGGATAAATATAGTCTAATATATATGTAATAGATAGTTATATTATTCAAATAAAAACTCAATCGTATGATTGCGAAGCGTGCAAATTTCTATTTACGGTAACAACTAAAAAAAGACTAATCGCCCCTATATATAACTACATAATGCGCTGAGCCTAAGTGACAGACTCGTGTGCATCATAAGGTTATTTGACATAAATTGGTGATTCGTATTGACACATGTTCAGGTTTGGTTTTGACTATTAGGCTTGGAAATTACAATAAACTATTTCAACTTTTCTTTTTTCTTAAGTTACCATATATTAATCTTAATTTTTTTAATTTAATTCATATATTAATTATTATAAATATGTATTTGTTTATTTTTAAAACAATATAAATTTCTATTTATATATTAATTTTTTATATATGATATACCAAAATAATCATATTTTAACGATCTTTGATTTGACATTCATATTGCATATATAAAACAAAAATAATACAATCAATTTTATTATAAACTCACATTAAAAAACATCTATAACAATATAAATTATTTTATAACAACAACAACAAAGTCTTTTAGTCCCAAACAAGTTGGGGTAGGCTAGAGATGAAACCCAATAGAAACAGTAGTAAAAAAAAAAAAAGATTGGAGCAAAAGAGAAAGGAGCAAAAGTCACGGTTCCGGCACGTTGATCGCTAGTCTCCAAGCGTCCTATCCACCGCTAAATCCCTGGAGATATTCCAATCTTTAAGGTCTCTCTGAACCGACTCTTCCCAAGTGAGTTTAGGCCGACCTCTACCTCTCTTAACAACATCGACCCGCTGTAGAACTCCCCTGCGCACCGGTGCATCAGGAGGCCTCCGTTGGACATGTCCGAACCACCTCAGCCGATGTTGAACCAATTTCTCCTCAATTGGGGCCACCCCGACCCTATCACGAATATCCTCATTTCGGATTCTATCTCTTCTTGTGTGCCCGCAAAACCAACGCAACATCCGCATCTGTGCTACACTTAATTGTTTGACATGTTGCCTTTTTGTAGGCTAACATTCAGCACCGTATAGCATCGCCGGGCGAATCGCCGTCCTATAGAACTTACCTTTGAGCTTTTGTGGCACCCTCTTATCACAGAGAACGCCCGAAGCTTGACGCCATTTCAACCAACCGGCTGCAATTCTATGCCTAACATCTTCATCAATGCCGCCATCCTTTTGTAGCATCGATCCTAAATACCGGAAAGTCTTCTTCTTGGCCACCACTTGCTCGTCAAGGCTAACATCACCATCATCATGAGTAGCCATGCTGAAAGCGCACGTCATGTACTCGGTCTTCGTCCTACTAAGTCTGAAGCCTTTCGACTCTAACGTGTCCTTCCACAGCTCTAACTTCCTATTTACCCCGGCCCTACTCTCGTCAACTAGCACCACATCATCAGCAAAGAGCATACACCAAGGGAGATCACCTTGTATGTCCCTTGTGACCTCATCTATCACCAAGACAAATAAATAAGGGCTCAATGTTGACCCCTAGTGTAGTCCTATTTTAATTGGGAAGTCGCTGGTATCGCCCCCACATGTTCGAACACACGTCATCGCATCCTTGTACATATCCTTGATGAAGGTAATGTACTTAGATGGGACTTTGTGCCTTTTTAAGGCCCACCACATGACATTCGTCGGTACTCTGTCATAAGCCTTCTCAAGGTCGATAAAGACCATGTGCAAGTCCTTCTTTTGGTCCCTATATCTCTCCATCAACTGTCGTATTAGGAAAATCGCCTCCATGGTCGACCTTCCAGGAATAAACCCAAATTGGTTTTGGGTCACACTCGTCACTCGTCGTAGGCGATGCTCGATAACCCTCTCCCAGAGCTTCATCGTATGGCTCATCAACTTAATCCCACGGTAGTTACCACAGCTTTGAACATTACCCTTGTTCTTGAAGATCGGTACTAAAGTACTTCTCCTCCATTCATCAGGCATCTTGTTTGACCGAAAGATGAGGTTAAAAAGCTTAGTTAACCATACTAACGCTCTGGCGCCCAAACATCGCTACACCTCAATGGGAATACCATCAGGGCCCATTGCTTTACCTCCCTTCATCCTCTTCATAGCCTCTCCGATCTCTGCCTCTCGGATTCTCCTCACCAAGCATCTATTGGTATCCTCAAATGAGTCAACCAACTCCAGGGTAGGACCCTCACTCTTCCCATTAAACAATTTGTCGAAGTACTCTCGCCATCTGTCCTTGATCTCCCCATCCTTCACCAGTGGCCGATCCGACTCATCCTTGATGCATTTGATTTGGTTGATGTCCCTTGTCTTCCTCTCCCGAATCCTAGCTATCTTATAAATGTCCTTCTCCCCCTCCTTCGTGCCTAGGCGCTGATAGAGGTCATCATATGTCTGACCCTTCACTACACTCACGACACGCTTTGCAGCCCTTCTCGCTATTTTATAGCTCTCAATGTTGGTTGCACTCTTGTCGAGGTGGAGACGCTTGAAACACTCTTTCTTCTCTTGAATAGCCTTTTGCACCTCGTCATTCCACCACCAAGTGTCTTTCGCATCCTGCTTGCCTCCCCTACTCACACCAAGTACTTCTGCAGCCACCTTCCGTACACATGTTGCCATCTTTAGCCACATGTCATCTGCATCTTCTCCTTCTTCCCAAGGCCCCTCGCCTAGCATCCTATCCCTAAACGTATGCGCCACTTCCCCTTAAGCTTCCACCACTTCGTTCTCACGGTCTTGGCACATTTGTCCCGGTGGACACGTACTCGGAATCGAAAGTCCGCCACCACCAGCTTATGCTGGGGGACAACACACTCCCCAGGTATCACCTTGCAATCTACGCAAGCGCGTCTATCCTCCCTCCTTGCAAGGATAAAGTCGATCTGACTTGAGTGACGTCCACTATGGAATGTCACTAGGTGAGATTAATCATTTATTGTTTTTTTCCATAAATTTTGGATAAAATTACAAAAAATAAAGATTAAGAAATATTATAAAATATTATTTCTCAATTTAAGTAGATTATAAAAAAAATTGAATTTTTTTATGTTATTTAAAATGGTAAATATAAATAATATCATAAAATACAAAATTTTAATTAAATAATATTTGAAAATTATTTTTTTAATTTTAATTTTAAATAAAAATTTCTTAATAAGCACCCGTGTAATACACGGTATTGTACTAATATATATTATAGAGAGATTTGTATGTAAAATGTTGTTAATACGGCAATACCTGAGTTTACATATTATAGCCCACAAGTATTGTCCATCAAAGATATCTGACTAATCCTTAAATTTAAAATTAAGCTCATTTCTAAAGTGATACAAAATCTTAATAACATAACTTAAGAAATAAACAATAATAAAAAAAAGTGTAAACACATAGCCCGATGAAATAAAAAATAATAAAAAGAAAATGTCAAAGCAAATGGAGAGACAGATGAATATAATCATTGTTTAAGAAATGCAAAAACATTTTTGTACGTAATTTAAGTTGAAAAAAACAACCTTGTTTAGATATTATATTAATATGTATCAGTTATATTATTCCAAATTAAAAAATTATGATTGTGAAGCGTACAAATTCCTATTTACTGTAACAACTATAAAAAAACACTAATTTTTGGAATAATATGCTTCACTCTGAATTGCAAAAAAAAAAAAAAAAAATTGTTACTGTAAATAGAAATCTGTACGCTTTCACAATCATACGCTTCACTCTATCAGAAAGATAGCTTATATTATAAAAAAAATAATATATACATATTATTAAAAATAATAAATTAAGAAAAAATAATAACGAAATCAATTTTACATAACTTTTCTTTATTTATCCTGCATTTGAAAAGAACTCTTGTCTTATAAATAATTTTGTTCACAATTTTGTTCACAAGTAATGTGGATTTTGTAGTGCGCCAGTAATCTCAATACTATATGTTGAACTATAAAAAATATCTTCCAATTGTTGAGTGGATTAAAAATAATTTATTTTTCTCATGTGCTTTATTAATTATGTGGAAAAGAAATAAATACCATTACCATTAAAACAATTGTTCAATTTTAGAAGGGTTGTTAAATAGTATTCCTGAATGGTATAAGTGTCTTGTGTATGTCAAAGGATACCTACATAAGTGTCACATCGTCCCTCACAAAAATCTTTGATTTTTTAGGATAAAAAAATATATAAAAAAGTTGTTGATCCATGTAATGACAAACTAGGTAGCTTGGGTAGGCTCTATTAAATCGCAAATACTTAGGTGCGGCACACCTTGCTATGTGTGCTAGGGCGCACGATAGTAGCACTGCTATTAAATACCGGAGCCTTGGATGATTCATTTCGTCAACTAATATTGTCGAAGCAAGCTATAGTTTACACATACATATCAATTGAGAATGACTTGTTCTTCACAATGTTATCTCTCTTTGTTTCTCTTCCTCCTCACTCTGTTTTTCACTCTTTCTTCCTCCCACTCCACAACCCTACCCCTCTTCACACCAACAAAGCGCGCCACAACCAACACCCAATGGCAACAGCTACGCCAGATGGCAATCGGCAGGTCGGCCAACATCTCCTCCTCCACTACCCCTCTCTTTTCCAACCTTGACGGCCAGTACATCTTCACCCTCTCCTTGGGCACCCCAACACAATCCCTCGTGTTGTCCTTATGCACCGGCTGCGTCCTTGTCTCGTTCCCTTGCGGGTACAACTTCTCGTGCGTGAATTGCTTCATCGACCCGAAAGATCTTCTCACATTCAAGCCCAATCAATCCAGCACCTCATCTCCGGTTTACTGCGATGACCAGTTACTGCATAAGACCATCTCCTCGGATTTCATCCCCGTTTGCACCAAATGCAGTTCCAACAACTCGTGCTTCAATACGCTGGCGGAGTACACCCACCCGCTAGAAGGCTCGGCGGGGTATATTCTATCCGAGTCCCTAACCCTACCCGAATTGAACCACCCGGAACCCAATCTCCTTTTCGGGTGCGCTTCAAAGTCGGATGGATGGCCGCTAGGTATAGGGATCGCCGGGTTCGGGCGCGCCCCTTCATCCCTCCCGTCCCAACTCAATCTCACGAAATTCTCCCACTGCTTTGTCTCAAAGACATTACACGACGGTGACCGCAATGTAAGCGGTTCTTTGGTTTTCACCTGGGGGGAAGATAATGAAAAAGAAGACGAAGATTGCAATGGAAATTGCTACACTCCCTTGATAAAGATCACGAACGGAACATGGCGAGACTCAAAATACTTTGTCAACGTAGAGGAGATTATGGTCGGTGGAGTCAAGGTCGAGGTCCCGACGGAGGATCTGACCACGACTGAGTATGGAAACGGGGGATTGAAGGTGGAGCCCGGCATAGAGGCCACGCTCATGGACAAAAGCGTGTTCGAACCATTGGCGAAGGAGTTAGAGAAGCAAGTCGGGAAGAAGTACAGTAGGGATACGTATGCGGAGAACGATTCTATGTACTGGCCGTGTTTTTATACTGGTGAGTCGGGTATGAATGGTATGCCAGAAATGGCTTTTCGTTTCCAAGAGGGGCTGGAGTTGGTTGTGCCAGTTGAAAATTTGTTTTGGACTTATAACGAATCGGTTATTTGCATAGCGATATGGTCGCAGACGCTGAAGGGGTATTCCATCTTGTTGGGTCAGTGGATGATGCAGAACGTTTACGTGGATTACGATTTAGCCAACAATCGTCTTGGTTTCATGCCAAAAAACTGCACACAAGTTTCTAATTAAGAGACGAATCAGGCCCAAGCTCTATATTTCTGTATGTGTGTGTATGTACCTGTGTTGAGAATAAGGCTTGGTTGGTCATAGGAGAATAATTGCTAGAGCAAATAGAGTACGATGTGTCAAATTATATGTTATGTTATCTTATGTGAGTGTTTTTACTTGTTATCTAACTTAATTTTCCGATGAGATGGTTTTCTTTTTAGTGTTTTTTAAGACTAGCCCATATATGTACATATATATTTTTGTTTTTATTTTTTGCGTACCAACCTAGATCACTTAGGTATTTAGCCTAACAATAATATAATATGAAATAAAATAAAATAATCAAAATTCGTGTATGGATAAATTCTCGGGTCGAAAGACATGCGTATTTTATATATTTCATAGTGTATTTTTATACATTTAATTTATTGTACGTCAATATTTTTTGACTTATTTATTATTTGAATGGATTTTTGTGCTATTATTATTTTATACTTTATATTTAGCACATTGAAGAATTTAGTTAGATCCGAAACCTTGGAGGGAGTTCTCATTAGTCATTCTTGGACGCCCTGATAATATCCAATAATGAGGCCCAAGAAATTATGGTAATGGACTCTTAGTCCATCAAATATTTTAGGGTAAAATACACACCTACATAGATAATATTTAAAAAAAAAAAAGGCCAATTTACATACATATATACTTAATTGATTACTAAATAATTGTAAATATACTGAAAAACTTTATTTGCACATCTATCTAAAGTAAATTAAATATATAGATTAATATTATCTATTACAAACACATCAGTAAACAAGAGAGTTACCTTATGAATCCCGTAACTGATGTATTCATTCCATTATTTAAAAAAGAAAAAAAAAATGCTTTAAATTTTTTAATTCCTCCTTGCAGTTGAGAGTGAAAAAATTGACTGACGAGAACAAAGCTGAGATTGCGCCGAAGCACAATTTGAATGCGAAATGGAAAGTCTTCGGCTTTTGCCGCTTTGTGTATACTTTGATCGTCGGTGGTTTGGCCGAAATTCTTCTTCTCTTCATGTTGGGTTTCTATTAGGAACGCTATAGTTCATAACCAAATGCACAATTCTCAGATTGGTGGTGGACAATTTGCTCCATTGGATCAAAAGAAATTGATGAAAGTCGAATCCAGCTCTCTACATATATATTATGGTGGTTGTGGAAATCCCGCAACCTATGGGTCTTCCAAAAAGTTCATCTTCCAGAGCAAAACCTTATTCAGTTGGCTATCAAGGAATGGAGAGAGTTCTGCTCAATTTCATAGCATAGCATATTTATGTGTCTGATGGAGTGTTAATCTAGGCCTTTTGGTAGTTCTTTAATCACTTCATTAGATATTGTTTAGCTTACTAAGGCCCTCAGCCTTGTGCTGCCTTAGTTTAGTTTATTGCTAGTCTTTAGACCTACTTGTAAAGTCTCCCAGTGTGTGCGAAGTTTCTATTAATGTATGTATTGAAAAATGTATATTTGTTATTTTGGTAATGAGCACCCTACCGTTTAGACAAAAAAAAAAAAAAAAAAAAAAAAAAAAAAAAAAAAAAAAAAAAAAAAAAAAAAAAAACTCATTTCTAAAGTGATATGGAATCTTAATAACATAGCCCGAAGAAATAAAAAATAATAAAAAAAAAGTGTAAACACATATCCCGAAGAAATAAAAAATAAAAAAAAAATATGGGAAAGCAATTTGAGAGACAAATAAATATACTTATCGTTTAGGAAATGCAAAAGCTTATTTTTACATAATTTAAGTTGAAAGCGACGTAGATATTATATTAATCCCCCTACATCCTCTCTCCTATATATTAATTCAGAATGCGTTGAGCCTACGTGGCTGCTCCTGGTGCTTCGGAATTCTAGGTGCCAAAATTATTAGGCTTGGATAAATTTTAATTTAATTCCAAACAAAAAATAATTAGGTTCGGATTACCATAAATATGTTGATTATTTATGGTCATGTTACATGCATTAATTGTATTTTAATATCATTTCTTATTATAACTATTGAATTGTATATGTATTTTAAAATTAATAACTTTTGTATTTTTATCAGTTTTACATATGTAATAATATATCAAATTAATCTTCTTTTGATGAGCTTCGATTTAACATCCATATTGTATGTATAAAAAAAAGAATTTATATTTATATTTATAACAATAATAAAATTATTTTTCACATTAATTAGAAAAATAAAATTATTTATCAACTAATATATTTATATTTCAAGTAGTTATATGATATAAGTTATAAAAACTAATATAATATGTTGAAAATCATGGTAAACAGAAAAATGAAAGGAAAAGAAAAGATGATGAACTCCAAACTTTCTTCATATCATATCTTAGATCTCAGTTGCGGCGGAGATTTTACACAGAATGATTCAATACACTTAAACCTAGCAGCTATGGGGTATTTATGTTAAGTGACACTACCAATGAAAGAGGAACACTTGTCATGATCATATTGAAGCCCAAGAGATGATCCTGCGGTTGGTTTTGGAGTAGCAGTGCAGCTGTCACTTGTACCATGTTCATGCAAAAAAGACAAGGTGGTCATCACATGCAGAGCTCGTGCCTTTTCCATGCAAGGGTGAGTTTACTTTACTTTTGTGCTGTAAATTCTCCTTCTTACTGCATGGTAAAACTGTTACTTCTAACACTCCCCCGCAATCCGAAGCAGGTTGAGAAAACACATTTAACTTCTCTCTCAACTTGGTGAAGGATTGTTCATTCAATGCTTTGGTCAAAATATCTGCTATCTGAAATTGAGTAGGCACATGTCTGACTTCAAGATCTTTTGCTGCAACTTTCTCTCTTACAAAGTGATAATCCAGTTCAACATGCTTAGTTCTTCCATGTAGCACTGGGTTAGAGGCCATAGCAATGGCACTAAGGTTATCTATCCACACAACTGGCCTTGTTTGTTCTGAAATATGAAGCTCATTAAACAAATTTTTTATCCAGATTATCTCAGAGGTTATGTGAGCAAGACTCTTGTATTCAGCTTCTGCACTAGATCTTGAGACTGAACTTTGTTTTCTTGAACTCCAAGACACCAGACTTTCTCCAACATAAACACAAAAACCACTTGTAGATCTTCTATCATCCAAGTCAGCTGCCCAGTCTGAATCACAAAACCCTACTATATTGAGATTATCAGCCTTAGAAATCTTCAAACCAAGAGCTGTGCTTCCTGCCACATATTTTAGAATCCTTTTTATAGCTTTCCAATGCTCTTCATTAGGATTAGACATGTATTGACTGACTTTGTTGACAGAGAAGGCTATCTCAGGTCTGGTGATGGTGAGATATTGCAATCCTCCCACC